TGGCTCCTGGCGCTCAACAACGTGCTCTGACTCAGCTTCACTTCCACTAAAGCATCAGAAAGAAAAAAACCCAAACGACACATCTCTCTCTCCACAGAGAGGACCTTTCTCCGATGGGATCTCAAAGCTCTGAGTAAGAGGCGATGGGAAGTGAATGTTGTAATTCATGTTAAGTGAATGAGGGTGAAAGTCCGCACTACCACATCACCATTTGCTAGCAATAACTGGAAAACATTTACAAAAACACCATGTGAGAATCATATTGAAACACAAAATATGTACCAGTAAAGAGCAGATGTCCTTCCTAGGCCCTCTCCTGTTGATGACAGGTGTTTTTCATTAGTATTAAAGAACACGTATTTCAGATTTTTTTTTTCCCCTTTAGCTTTATACAAATCCTGCACAAGGCACGAAAGGGTCAATGAACTGATAAGGACTCACTCTATCAGCTGCGCCAATTGCATTGAAGGCAGCAGGCTTAATTCAGTTGGCACCTTCTACAACAGGGAAGATCATCAGCCAACACACCAATCTGAGGAGTAAGAATTTGTTCACCACACAAACATTTACAAAAATGGGCCTAAGGAGATGACCCAAAATCCTTTCAAAGACTCTTGAGGGGATAGCTGTGGTGGCAAAGTGTTGGCCTAAGCAACAGACAATAGAGCAACTGGTGCCCTCGCAAACCTTACAGGCTTCGTAGGGGAGAATGGGCATGCTGGATGGTTCAGGTCCAGGACACAGGTAAAGCGGTCATTTTGAGAGAAGTATCTCCAAAACCCAGGCTTCCCAGCTTGATCTAGAGAAAAAATTACTCCAGTTTCAAAGTATGGAACTCATCCTCACTGTCTATTTTGTTTCAATGCTCCTAAAGCCACTGCAGGCTAATGCATTGGGCTGGCACATCAACAAATCAATTTACTGCAAAATTGCACTGTCCAAGAAAAAACAGTTCATGGAAACAGCTGAAGTCTCACTGGGAAGACCCAATGCACCCAGCGTGATCCCACATCATCGGCTTTTCAGAAATCACAAAGGGTTTTGATGGTATGGCTGGGAACGCTCTGCTCAGAAGTCAGAGTCAGGCTTCGACCTCAGCCATCCAATGCTGCTGATCTCTATTTCATAAGGAGTACAAATGTAGGCACAAACTGATGGGAAGAATCCAGGATAAAAGTTGACCACTCTTTTTGAAATAAATGGGTCTGAAATACCAGGACAACATGGTTATCATTGAGTTTGTACCACAGCAGATCCTCTCTAAGGCCTTGTGAAAAACAGTAGCCCTAGGAAAATCCACTGGCAAAAGATCTACACACCGGGTACTAAGGGACCAACAAGGAAAGAACCAGTCACTTACAGCCCAGACATCCCAAAGGAATTTTCCTTGTAGACAGATGACTTAGAAGGACAGAGATGGCAGAGATATGACAGAACCAGCAAATATTACATCTACAGTCCTCCTGAGAGAAGAAAGGCCTGGCATGGGGCTGCTACATGATTTGCTCCCAGAGGTTTCCTGCTACGCACCTGTGCAGCCACACTGCCTGAGCTAAAGGAACAATAGCGATGCATAAAGCTTTGCCTTACACCTCTCAGTGGACGGAGCTATACGACATCTTAAGCTCAAAGATGCCACTAGTCACATGCTCCAGCCCCTTCCATAGTCACATATCCATAAACCCTGGGTTAGCAGCCCTGACAACTGTCCCCATTGCAAACAGGATACACTTACTGAAGAAATCTATGCAAGATCGACTAAGTAAACAACAGTGGAACCTGTATTACACACTCATCTTTTTAGAGGAAGAGGTCTGTGTCTTAATATTTTTCTCGCTCACCTGCTTGCTGACAGCAAACTAAATCGCTGTCAGACTTGCATCCTATGTAAAAAGTTTAGTGGCAGCTCTATTTTTTAACATTATTCCTCTATTTATGCAACACAACCTTTGTTGGCTCTGTGCTCTGGTTTTCTTCTCTCACGGTGCTGCCTCCCTGCACTTCTTCACTGCCCTTTCACCTTTCTCTCCTCTGACTGGTCACCCCTTATTACCTCTTTGCATTGGATCCACGTTGCTCCTCTAAGTGGTTTATCTAGTGTTTTTGATTCCCACCTCCTTTGTTAGTACCTTAGGAGTGTCATCCACCCAAGATGTCTGGACAGAGGATGAGCTTCCTCAGAAAGAAACCACTCTTTGGTAAATCCAAAACTACAGAATCACAGAATCGATTTGGTTGGAAGAGGCCTCTGGGATCATCGAGTCCAACCTTTGCCCTAACACCACCACATCAACCAGACCATGGCACTAAGTGCCACATCCAGTCTTTTCTTAAACACCTCCAGGGATGGGGACTCCACCGCCTCCCTGGGCAGCCCATTCCAATGCCCAACGACCCCTTCTGGGAAGAAATGCCTCCTCATTTCTAGCCTGAACTTCCCCTGGCACAGTTTCAGACAAAGCACTCTTGTCCTGTCACAAGTTGCCTGGGAGAAGAGACCAACCCTCACCGGGCTACACCCTCCTGTCAGGTCGTTGTAGAGAGCGATCAGGTCTCCCCTCAGCCTCCTCTTCTCCAGCCCAAACCCCCCCAGCTCCCTCAGCCGCTCCCCATCAGACTTGTGCTCCAGGCCCTTCACCACCTTCGTTGCCCTTCTCTGGACTCGCTCCAGCACCTCAAGGTCTGTCTTGTGGTGAGGGGCCCAGAACTGGACACAGCGCTTGAGGTGTGACCTCACCAGTACGCAGTACAGGGGGACGATCACTGCCCTGGTCCTGCTGGCCACACTATTCCTGATACAAGCCAGGATGCTCTTGGCCTTCTTGGCCACCTGGGCACACCACTGGCTCACATTCAGCTGGCTGTCGACCAGCACCCGAGGGCTTTTTCCACTTCACCACTTTCTAACCACTCTTCCCCCAGCCTGTAGCACTGAATGGGGTTTTTGTGGCCAAAGTGTAGGTCCTGGTATTTGTTCTTGTTGAATCTCATGCCACTGGTCTCAGCCCATCTATCCAGACAGTTTCCACTGAAAAAAATACAGAAACAAAAAGAAAACTAGAACATCTAAAACTCCACAATAACTGTCTCTGCTATACACCACCAAATGCAGAATGTTTTCGGTTTAGGATAACAACACAGTAGTGAGTCCCAGTGATTTGAAACAGGAAAAAAAAATGCATCAAAGAACTCTGAATTTTAGAAAGGAACTGAGCTGGGGAGATACATGGGGGAAACAGAGTGCTCTCAAAGAAAACGAAGAGAAAACTGCAAGACTGCAAGGAATCCAAAGCACTGATGGCAGTGATGTGGCAGACCAAACAGCAGCAAGACAAGACAACCTTCTGATTTTCTAAGTATTTTTATAGCTCGTGGTAAACCACAGTCAAACCCCTCTGTAAGCCATGATAAAAAAAGTTGATAGAAATTAAGAGATATTTTTCTTGATGTTTACCTGAGCCCCATGATCTCATGATCAGCTGGAGACAGTGCAAACTGTATCTGCTACTTAAAGTAATCCTATCGTTTTCATCCCCTAGGGAAGGCAGAGACTGGTAGGGCCTGATATCGTAGTCATGGAAGTAACTCTTCACTGTTGGACTCAGACAGGGCAACCAGAGAGCAAACACACAATTTCCTCCTCCACACATAGTGTCCCTGATAGAGATTAGATCTCTCCCAACTATAATAATAAGCAAAACAGTAAGAGTACATTTGCTTACCTGAAAAAATCAGTCTTTATTTACATATGGGAGAACTGAAGCAAGACCCAAGAAAAAATGCTTTATTAGCAGGTAAATAACTTCACACTCTTGAAAACGTATCCCCTACTGAAATCACTGCAGAATCCTTCTCTTTGTGCGCACACAGTGACACTCAATATCAATATTTACTATCAGACCCAGATGTGCCTCCTACTTGTCCAATTATGGATGCAGAAAGTGTTTTCAAACTTCGAGAAAGTGTTGGGGTTTCATCTGGACATAGGGTGGGCACTATAGCTGCTTTGCACAGGTACTGCAAAGCAAAAAGTCACAGCTACCTAACAGAAACATCCTTTGTTAGATGTACCAAGCAGTGGGTCACTACTGCTGCAGCACAAGGCACATTGCTCAGCCTTGCTCACCATCCTGCAGCATCAGCTTCCTCCCACCACCTGGACTGCTCCCCCCTTCACCTTGCCTTGGACCAACATTGCCTCCTTTCTCCACATCCTCCTCTCTCCTCTCTTTTGAGCCCTTTGGAGGCTGCACGGAGGTTACTGCTGTTAGCTGACTCTGAAGTTCGTACTGCTGCTTGACACTCGCCCTGCATAGCTGCTCTTAATGGCTTTTTTCTGCACAGCAGGCATTTCGCCCAAAACGGAGCTTGCAGAACACCTGCACCTCAGAAATACAATCACTTTTTCTCCCAGTTACTAAGCCCGGAGAAAAGGAAGCAGTGACACCACCACATTTCCAGACTGCAAGTATTTAGCACATATTCCACATCTAACAAGTATCCTAAACCAATTCCACAGTTATTTCGGTGCAACAACCTTTTGCTCCTCCTTTTACTTTGCCACTATAATACAGTGTGCATATATAAACACACATATAGCCTCACGCAAATAAAGTTAGAGAAAGAAGTTTACATACTTTAAGGCCTGAAGGGAAAACTAAATTCCTTTAGCAAGATCTCCAGCATAAACATCAACATCACCCCTAACTCCCTCAGCAGAACAGATTTTTGTCCCACTGTGTAAATGGATTCTATCAAACCCTCCTAGCTTATAGGTAAGAAAACCCCTTAGCGCTACACATAGTAACCCAAGGTATCTCCCATGTGCATGGAGATGAGTTATGATGTTGTAAGGAAAAATCAGTTTATGATTTTCTTTTCTTTTTTTTTTTAGTGAAAGAGGCTGTGAAGATTGTTCAGATGTTTTTAAATCCTGCAAAAGAGAAGGGATGTGGGGGAAAGATGCAAGAAGAATGGAAAATAATGCAAAAAAATCCTACCGTGAAGCTGTTGTTGACATTCTTAGTGCTAGATTCTGCCACACTGGCATCTGTCAGATCCACCTCATCAAAAATAATGGACTGGAAAGAAAAAATTCAACACCCCAATGAATTATTGAATCAATATATAAGCAGCAGACCCAAAGGGACATGCCTGTATGTCTGCCTAGCACACTCCACCACAGCCTTTTGTGATCTGAACGAAAGATCAAGCATACCGAAAACATGAAGGATTCGGAAGTCTAGTTCCATACACTAGGGCTCACACTTGCCTGTCTTCAGTCAGTGAACACGATTACTTTAAGAAAAATAAAGGATTATTTAAAAAAAAAAAAAAATTTTAGACTGCTTTTGTGAAAGGAGACAGATTCATATTTAGTTGACTATCAGCATACTAAACCAGATGCAAGGCAGCTCTGATTTGATAAATTCTAGCCTTGCTTGTCTCCTACACTGCCTCTTTTCATTCATATTTTCCTCCCTTCTTTTTCCGCTTCTGTTGATTCACAGCCTATTTCTTACTAAAATGCATGAAGGGGGAAAAATGTGGAAAAACCAGTATCACAGGTTCACAGGATGTTTTACTTAAAAACCAAGGATTTCCAAGTGTGTTGCAAAACACAGGGATCTTCTAGTAGCTACAAAACCTGAAGACAGGTGCTTACAGAGCACGTGCTCTTTTCTCTACTGAGTGCTACCTTCTTACAGACACCCATCTGCCTCCAAAGCTCCGCAACTGGCTTTCTTCCCTTGGACTCGTGTATTGTCAAGACCTTACCTTAGCAGTTTTTGCATAGTAAAGAGTTCGTCCTCGTAGTTTAAAATATCGTCTCTTCCAGCGCTGGAAGGAGCTGGTCTGTTTCATCAGCATCCCCTCTTTTATGATAGTCTACAAAACAAGGAGGGGAGAGGGGTGAAGTATACATTTTACTTACAGGCATCTTGTATGCTCTCCCACTACACACCAGTACCAAGACAGACCGGAGTTTGAGATCAATAACCTTAGCGCCCTCTGCTGGAAGTGCTTCATAAATTCATTCAACATAAGCCAGCAAACTGAACAAGATTAAACTGTCACAAGGCATAATTCACACGGGGGTGTGGTTTTATCCTTGTCTCCAGTGCTATCACGATACCAAAAATGATAAATAACTTATGACTGAATGAGCATTTCAAAGTCTAACACTGACTCGGGGACCGTAACAGTTAAACTCACTGAGGTCAGATTTCAGTCATGGGTAATTGTACGTTTCGTTTAATTGGCATTTGATTACAAGCACATACGCACCACAGCACATCTGTCCTTATCTCCAGTTCTGCCTTGTGAAATTATCAGCATCTACCTGGCACAGAGCTGGCAAGGTGCAGGCCCACAGGGTGAAGAGTGGAGCGAAGGAGCAGCTACATCCAACTTCAGCATTTGGTATTCTTCAGATAATCTTGGCCCTGCCTCAGTACTCTCTGGCTGCCTGCCATTTCCCAGGGCCAGAGTGCCAAAACTGTCTACGCACACTGCCTTTTTTTTTTTCCTTTAACTGCTTTATAACTAGATTGACATACCAGCATACACATTCCCATATGCTCGCTCACATACTATGCATACATAGGGGTATGTATTTAATCCACATGCACTTCATTCTACTTCATCAAATACATTTGATTCCTTCACTGCGAACAGATTTTTGAATACCAACAGCTACATGAAAACAATCTCAAAAACTGCGGCTTAGAAAGACAAAAGGCAAAAAAGTCAGAGCCGAGGGTTCAGCCTCAAATCCCCGATTGAAGGTATTGCCTAGGAACTGCAACCGGTGCTTACGTCACGTGTCAGTACCATGAGAAACCTACTGCTCTCCCCCAGAAACAGCCCCCAGGAACCCACTTGTTGCTGAGCGAGCCCAATGCGATAAACACAGTTAAAACACAGGAATCAAATGGTCCGAGAACCTTGTAAGACAGGTTATTCTGTATCTTGATGCCAGGAAGATGACACAGCTTTAACATACCAGAGGTCTCTGTGAAACCCAGGTTTGTAACAGAGTCAGGTCGTCAATGAGTATCAATTCAGAAACACAGCGTTAAACGTACACTGCCAGGCTACTACAGAGCACAAAACAAATACTTTTACTGATCCACAGGGTTTAGTTCATTTTAGAAATCCTTTCCAGAGGACTAAACTTGCTTTTAAAATGCTATATATATTTCTAATGTGGGTCTTTCCTTTTTGAAACAGCTGCAGATTTTAATACTTTCCACACACACTGGCCCTTGCCAAGCTCAAAGTTTCCTCAAAAAGCACTTGGAAAAAAATGCTGACTATAAGAAGAAACATCCGTCTGACAACACATGCTTCTCTTGCTAGATCGAGCCATCCTCAAACTGGCCCGAGAGATCATAGGGCCTGAACCACCACGGTGAGGCCTCTACATACAA